GCTGCGCCTGGCTTTAGTCTGCTGAGCTATCAAGCCAGCCTTAGTTAAATCTTTTTTTGTATCTTGATGATTTATGGAAATTTTGCTTGTCTTTCAACCACATACATAAAGGTATTTTCAGTTTTCTGATTGCAGTGGTGCTGGGTAATTTTTCCATGTATATTAATTGGCTATAAATGGGAATTAAGAAAACATACTGACATTTGTATAGTGTTCCTGTATATTTTTTTATTTATTCAGATATTCATTGAGCAGCTATAGTGAAACCAAGTAATTAAAATATTATCAAGAGACAGACGTACGCGCAAGTTATAGAAAGCAATATAATATAAGGTTCACTGAATCACAGTAGTCAAGAAAAGTGCTTTAGGAAAGAAGTTGTTTCCAGCCTGGGAGGAGCCATGAGTGGCAAATCAGGAAATGGAACTGAGTTTAAAATAGAAGACTGGGGCCGGGGAGATAGCTCAGTAGAGGGCCATGAATTCATTCCCCAGTTCCACAAAAACAAAAAAAAAAAAAAAAAGACTTCAGTGTGGATTTTTTTTTTCATAATTTTATTGATAAATAGCAATGAGACAGTTTCAAATCAAATCGCTAGGACAGTTTCAATAACTAACACACTGCATACATTCTTCTTAGTGGTTAGTTGCTGTACAAGACACTGGATTGTTGATGATACTCAGTGTAGATTTTTTAAAAAAATATTTATTTATTTACTTATTTTCTGTTATAGGGTCTCACTATGAAGTTCAGACTCATAGTGATCCTCCTGTCTGTCTCTGCAGCACAGGGACACATGTGCCATCACACTGTTTCAGGGCCAGCACAATGTGTACTGGGGATGGAACTCAGGTCCTTGCACTTGCCAAGAAGGCGCTTAGACCACCAAGCTATCTCCCCAGCCCTCAGTGCAGATTATATTTGTCTCTTTCTCGCTGCATCTTTGGGCTCATCAGTAATACCCAGGACTGTTCATTGTGCTTTCTCTATATTTCCTTGCATTTTTTGCTTTAATATCTTCTATAGAACTAGGTCCTTTGGTTTTTTTGAAGGATTCTTAGCCTTTTGATCTTCGTGTTAATAGTTTTTTGAGTCTTCCGTTCTGGCTTGATTTTTGTGCTGCTTTTTTTTTTTTTTTTTTTTTTTTTGGCCTTTTTGAGAGTTTTTTACTATGCAGTTCCGGCTGGCCTTGAACTCACTTTGTAGCCCAGGTGCGCCTCAAACTCACAGCAGGCCTCCTGAGTGCTGGAATTACAGACTTGTGCCACTACACCTGGTTCTTTTTGTGCATTCTGACTAGACTATCTGGGATAGATTCCCCCCCACACCCCCGGAGCTTTTTCTATAGTTTCCTCATTAAAATCTATCATCTCTAGCATCCGTCTTCTCTTCATTAGCAGCTAGTTTTACTGTTTTCTGTAAACTTTACTTCCAGAGGTAGATCACTGTTTAGATATACTTAAGAGTTTTACCTGTTCTTTCTCTTCCTTTTTTTTTTTTTTTTTTTAGACTGTCTGCCTATGTCATTCAGGCTGGCCTTGAGCTCACTTTGTAGCCCAGGCTAGCCTCAGATGCACGGTGATCTTCATGTCTCATCCTCCTGTGTGCTGCGATTACACAGGTGCATCACTTCTCCTGGCCCCCTTTCATCTTCTGACTCTTTGCCTGCACATTTATGTGCTGTCCACCAATATGCACGGGCCCTGAGCCAGCTCTCAATCTTAAGACAACAGAGGGTGTAATTTCAAAGCCCCCCGAGGGAAACAGTTTCAGAGTTGCTCTTGTAACTTTAATTGGGCTGCCTATGTAATTCGTTGCCTCTGCTTTGACTGCCTCTGCTTTGACAGCGTGTGCTAACTCCTAGGCACACTCCTCTTACCGATAACTGGGGCTCATTTTCCTTATTAGCCACCTTAAGGTATTCTTTCTTGGCCTGTAGTTCACAATTGAAAAGATAGTTCTGAGTCCTGAGGGCTCATGTCCGTCCCTGGGCTGGTGGCACACGCCTAGCATAGGTAGAGGGAGTGCAGATGGAGACCAACTGCTCCAGAGGACAGACGCACAGGATGGAATCATGGAGCAGGTGCTCCTGTATTTCCCCACTTATTTTAATGCAAAATAAGTGTGTAACCAATTCTTTTTTATTTTCCAAATATACATCTGATTTCTAAACTTACATGGGGATTTTTCCATATCAATTGTTTTAGGACATGCATAAAAAAGTTCTTTTCCTAGAACCGAGTGTGGTGACACATGCCTTTAATCTCAGCACTTGGTGACTTAGGCAAGAGGATTGCCCTGAGTTTGAGCCCAGACTGGGCTACATAGTGAGTTCAAGGCCAGCTTGAATTACATGGTGACATCCTGTTTAAAAAGGTCTTTTCCTCAGTGTAGCTATTATATTTGTTAACTTCATAGAATACTTTTGTGTATTTTAGGGAGCCTCGGAAACACAGATACTTTCAAATTTGTGTTTGTCTGCTAATTATGAGAAGGAAATCGGCTTACCCAATAAGGGTATTTGGCTTTCCAATAAGTTATTAAAATCAGACTCTAGAGAATGTCCGTATAACCAGTAAAATACTTCTAAAAATTAAACAACATTGATAAAATATATTGCCACCATAATAAGTTTCTATCACTGTGCAAAAACCAGAGATACTCAGTTTATAAGGATGGACCAGCAGGATAGCTAGCTCAGCGGTCTAAAGTGCCTGCTTAGGCAAGTGCACAGGGATTGTAGTTCTATCCCTGGCACCGCCTGCCTCGCCCCCAGGGTGGGCTGAGCTGGCCACAAAAAAAGTGTATGCATATATCTACTCAGTTTATAAGGAAGAAAGTTTGACTTTTGGATCACAGTTTCAGAGGTGCCCGTCCTGACCATTTGGGCCTGTGGTGTCATCTTACTTGTGGCAGAGGAGGCTGCTTACGTCATGGGAGCTGCGAAGCAGAGAGAGAGAGAAAGGCCCAGAGGTCAGCATCGCAAGAGACTTCCCCTTCTTCCACTAGACCCTGTCTCCTAGAGTTTCACCACCTCCCAGTGACACCACAGGCTGGTGACCAAGCCTTCGGCACATAGGCCTTTTAGGAGGCATTTCAGAGCAGCTACTTTGCAATAAAAAGGGACAAACTAGATAAATGCAACTACTTGGAGGAGTCTTTTATAAAAATTTGAGACAGGGTCTTGCTGAGTTGTCCAGGTAGACTCACACTTTCTCTGCCTCAGGTTTCTCTTCGTGTTGGGATTACAGGCATGTGCCCCTACTCCCAGCCGCATGGTTCTTTAAAACATTCTGAGTGAGCCAGGTGTAATGTGCACACCTGTAAATCCAGCACTCTGCAAGGCTAAGTATGAGGATCACAAGTTTGAGCCCAGGGTGGGCAATTTAGCAAGACCCTGTCTCCAAAAAAAAAAAAAAGAAAAATCCATGCTGAGTGCAAGAAACCTCACACAAAAGAGACCATACCTTACGATATAATTTACATGAAATTCTGGAATAGAAACTACCCTTCTTCAGCTGGTCCGCCCGAGACCCCCTGAGCGCCAGCCCTAGTCCCCCGTGCTGCCCCATATCCGCTCCGACAAGATGAAAGAAACTATCATGAACCAGGAAAAACTCGCCAAACTGCAGGCACAAGTGCGCATTGGTGGGAAAGGAACTGCTCGCAGAAAGAAGGTGGTTCATAGAACGGCCACAGCAGATGATAAAAAACTTCAGTTCTCATTAAAGAAGTTAGGGGTAAACAATATCTCTGGTATTGAAGAGGTGAATATGTTTACAAACCAGGGAACAGTTATCCACTTCAACAACCCAAAAGTTCAGGCATCTGTGGCAGCAAACACTTTCACCATTACAGGCCATGCTGAGACGAAACAACTAACAGAAATGCTACCCAGCATCTTGAACCAGCTTGGTGCAGACAGTCTGACTAGTTTAAGGAGACTGGCTGAAGCTCTGCCCAAACAATCTGTGGATGGAAAAGCACCGCTTGCTACTGGAGAAGAGGATGATGATGAGGTTCCAGATCTTGTGGAGAATTTTGATGAGGCTTCTAAGAATGAGGCAAACTGAACTAAGTCAGCTTCTGAAAAAGATCAAACTTGGAAGAAATTACTGGGAGCTGCTATTTTATATTATGACTGCTTTTTAAAATTGTTTTGTTTATGGATCTGATAAAATCTAGATCTCTAATATTTTTTAAGCCCAAGCCCCTTGGACACTGCAGCTCTTTTCAGTTTTTGCTTACATACAATTCATTCTTTGCAGCCAGTTAAGCTGGAGAAGCCTGGGAATAAAGTTTGAAACACATTAATAAAATGCTTTGCCTAGTAAAAAAAAAAAAAAAAAAGAAACTACCCTTCTGTGTGAGAAAAAATTAGAACCGAGATTGTCTCAGAGCAGGATCAGGGGCTGGCTGGGTAGAGGTATGAGGAAACTTTCCAGAGTGAGTAAAACTTCTGGGTTATACACAGACTTACAGATGAGCAAACTGAGGCTTGCAAACAACTGCCAGGAAGAAATGAAATACTACACACATAGGTGTGTAAGTGTGTATGTGTTTAGCAGGGGATGCATGGGTTAGGCCACTTTAGAACCAGGTACTTGGTGACTGCAGCTAGGATTAGAACTTGAAATTTTCCCGCTCTGGCCATTCTGTGTGATACACTCATGGGTCCTAGGTTCTGGCTAAGCAGCCAGTCGGTACTGTCTCAGCCCTCCAGGAGGCCTCTGTGTGCTCCCTCAGGATTTCCTCCTGCAGATTTTGTTGTGTGTGTGTGTGTGGCAGTGGTCTGAGTTACGTAGCCATCTGAGAGCCATGTATTGATTACCTGCCCTGTCTTGGGGGGAAGATTTTAAAATAAAGTAGCCCTGGGGAACCTGGCTGGTGCCTGAAGTCCCCCAAGTGATGAGGCCTCTAGAACTCCCCTGCCTTGCCCAGGTGCAGCCTGCTAGTCTGGAGTATATCTCTAAATGATTTTCCCCCCCACAGCAAAAATTGGATGCAGAGTTTCAGAAGAGACTGGAAAAAAATAAACTTGCTGCAGAGGAGCAGACTGCAAAGCGTCGGAAAAAGCGGTAGGGGCACCAGGGTACCTCTTAATTAGCAGGACTGACAGGAAGGGTAAATGTGGGGTAGTTGTGGGGCTTTTTGTTGGTTTTGTTTCAGGGGTACTGGGGACTGAACCTCTGGCCGAGGCAGAATTTTATCATTGTGCTATGGCCCCAGCCTGAAAGCCCTGAAAGCGAGGGTTGGTTAGTGAGGAGTCTTTGTAGTCAGAAGTGCCCTGTGTGACCTGCAGAGGTCGTAAGTGTAAACACCCTCAGCCCAAGTGACCCAAAGAATGAGCTTTCTTTCTTATCCAGGAAGAGAGCAAGTTCCTGCGCTTGATACAGACTCCTCAAACCCAAGACTAAAGATTTCTGTCTTTCACATCTGCCTTTCTATAGTAGGTGCTGTAGCAGAACATCCCATTTAGTCAGGCTCTTAAAGAGCCTTGGGCTAGGGAGATAGCTTGGCAGTCTAAGCACCTGCGTGGCAAGCACAAGGACCCCAGTTTTATCCCTGGTACAATATGCCATTCTGGCCCTGCAACTCCATGCCGGCCACTGAAACTGGGCATGGTGGTGCACACCTACAATCCCATTGCTGGGGAGGCTCTAACAGGAGGATCATTACAAGTCTGAGCTGTGTAGTGAGACCTTGTGCCAAATAAATATTTTTTTTCTTCTTTGTGGCCAGCTCAGCCCACCATGCCAGGGATCAAACCGTGGTCCCTGCTCTTGCCTAAGACCACTGAGCTATCTCACCAGCACCAATAATTTTTTTTTAATTAAAAATTTAAAAAAAAGTCTGTGACCTCCCCCAGTGCCTGTGTAGTAATACAGGCTCTGTGTTTGTGTCACACACACATGCATGTGTATTTGTATGTGTGTGTTTTAAACAAATAGTCATTCAACTTGTAGAGAGCCAAGCAGGATTCCAAAAACAGTCTGTACATATTGTGGGATGAAAATACATCTTTCTTTTAAAGAAAAAAAGGAAGGGGAAAAAAAGAAAATGCATCTCTACAGCACTGTGGGAGACTAAGGCAGGAGGATCGCAAATTCGAACCCAGCCTGGGCAACTTAATGACTTAGTGAAACCCTGTCTCAAAATTGAGGGCTTGGAATATAGCTCAGTGCAAAGGCTTTGAGTTGAATCGCAGATACCACAAAGGAGGGAAAGAGAGAGAGGAAGAAAGTGGATGTAAACAAATACATCTTAACATTTTGGGGATTGCTTTAATTACCTCAGAACTCCCCAGAATTTGATCTTGATTCGTAATGAAAATAGCTTGATAATATTGGAATAACACAATTATGAGAAAGTATTTCTGAGTTCAATCCCCCGTTCCACAAAACAAAACAAAGTATTTCTTTTTTTCTTTAGGATTTGTGTTAATGTAAAGACTTTTTGTTTGATTTTTATGGTGTTAAAGATTGAGCCCAGAGCCGTGAGTTACATACTGTTTCTTTTGTTTTTGTGTTTGTGTTTGTGTTTGTTTTCAGTGGGGGGGGGGTGAATCCTAGGGCTTTGCACTGAGCCACAACCCCAGATCTTTTTCAAGATAAGTCTTGCTAAAGTTTCACAGGCTGGGCTTACACTTGCAGTCCCCCTGATTCTGCCTCCCAGAGTGCTGATCTTGCAGGCCTGACTATTATTTATTTATTTTATTTATGCAAGGTCTGGCTATGTCAGTGAGGCTGGCCTTGAACTTGCTATATAATCCAAGCTAACCTCAAATTCATGGCAATCCTCCTGCCTCAGCCTTGCAGTGCTGGAGTTGTGGGTGTGTGCTGCCACGCCTGGCCCAGCCCTTTGTATTTGAGGTAAAGACTTTCTAAACTGCCCAGGCTGACCTCATATTTGTCATCTTTCTGCTTTGGCCTCTCAAATAGCTGGAATTACAAGGATGCACCACCTGCTCCACTTTAGTGTAAAGTATTATAGTAGGTGTTTATTTTCTAAAACATGCAGCAAGATATTTAAGGAACCAGTCAGTATGTATGTTTTACCTTTGTAGCCAGAAGTTAAAAGAGAAGAAACTACTGGCAAAGAAGATGAAACTTGAACAGAAGAAACAAAAAGAAGGTGAGTGGTGCCCGCTTTGCTTCAAGTGGTCTTTCTCTTGGTGTCTGTCATAGTGCGGAACAGTCTAGAAACTGGTGGTAGTGCGGGGCGGGCAACTGCCACTGAGGAGAAAGCAGCCTCTTTGCTAGTCTTCGTTGACTTGCAAACATCAGAAAACCAAACTGGCTTCAGCAGAAAAGAAAGTTGCTGTTGTGCTCTTAAATCCAGGCCAGAGCTCCTTCCAGGCAGGGCTGATCACTGCTGCCTTCCGCCCCTACGTCCTGGCTTTCACAGGAGCACCTGCGGCTGCTCCCCAAACTACACACTGCGTTATTCTTCTGCAGAGGGAAAGGTTAAGGAACTGTTGCAACACTCTTAGCAGAAGTCTCACTGTGTCTTTGGTTTTGATTGAGTCATTTGCCAAGTCATTTAGGAATAGATCCATTAAAAAAAAAA